CTGTTTAGTGTCTGTACTGTCACTTTAAGAGACAGTAGGGTTTGACATCATCACTGGTCTCTGGACTGTCTGTCTGCAGTTTGTAAGTTAACAGGAAGAGGGCGCTGTTCTACTCTGTGAAATTAAGGCCTTAAACTGGGTTGACGAGGATGCCATTTTATCTTCTGTGTGAAATTACAGACCTAAACTGTGTCAATGTTCTCTTTCAGACACACATCTACATTAGAGTTAATAGAATATAGAGATGTAAAGTGCTGATGAATGTTTGTGAAAAAACAAAATAGTTGAGATATGATAAGAAAAAAAAATAAAGATGTATAAAAAATGAGACAGTTCATACAAATTTACAAGTGTTGTTTTTGTTTTTTTTTGTTTTTTTTTGCATCTTCTACTTTTTCTAGTTGGATTCAATGTAAATGCAAAAGTTAAATGAGATCATCATATTTTTTTTTTTTTCACTTTGGAAATTGGTCCTGAATATAAATGCAGCCAAGGTTCTTATACAAGGTTCTTTAGTTTTAAATATTTTATTATACATAAATGTACAAACATAAACATACAGAGATGCAGAGCTGAGCTCCACCCAGCATGTGAATGTGGTGAGAGAACACAATGGAGATCACTGACAGCCTCACACTGAGCTGATACACAATTTATATCAGAATGATTTCAGCTCTTAGCATTTCATACTCTTCATAGAGAAAAGACGCTCTGCACTAAATCATACAGGTATGATTATATTTACAAAATAAGAAAAGCTCACATTTTAACAGATATTTGTATTTACAGCAACTGGTAGGTTGTAAAAATATGACGCTAGTATGTAACTTTGTCATTATATCATCACAGATATCATAGAGAAACATGAACAATAAAGAAACAGACAACCTCAGAACAAACATCCACAAACACAGTTCAATACAACATCCTCAATCGTAGTCCTAATCCACCATGTTCACTCACACTGGATCATGATGAAGGGATATAAAGTGAATCCACTGTATATGGAGTTTATCACCTTCTCTGTTACTGAGTATCACAGTTTAATGTGTAGAACTCACTGCTAGAGTGTCATACTCAGGAGAACTGGATTGAGGGTCCAGAGCTGTGTACGGGTCATCAGGAGAACTGGACTGAAGGTCTAGAGCTGTGTACGGGTCATCAGGAGAACTGGACTAAACAGCCTGTGTGAGGGAAAGAGAGAATGAAGCAGAGGAGGAGAAATGAAGAGCTCCATTTAGTTTTCTGAGTTAGGAATTCTTTACAGATCTAGAGGGAGGATTTGTGAAGAGACACTTACTGCAAGTGTGTGGTACACATCATCAGAGGACCTGGCTGTGGGCTGAAGAGCTGAGTATGTGTCGTCCTTAGCGTTAGGGTCAGTGTTCTGTACAGGGAATGGTTAGAGAAGGTGTAGAGAGACTGAAGGAGTTTAGGAATCACTAGTTTAATAATTTACTGTTTGAAACAAATCATCTCGATCATGATGTACTGACTGAAACCAAAAGTTAAGTAGCTCAGAACGGCACCTTGGACAGCACTCTCACCTTTTCACAGCTCCATCCTAAAACACTTAGTTCTATACTGCCATTTAGAGGAAGAGTTTTGGGTAACACTTTATTTTGCAGTGACATTTTTTACATGAACAATTTAACTAAAATTTATCTGTTGAACAGAGAGCAGTTAATTGGTTCACAATATGTGGGTTATTTCTGTTAAGACAGTTACATTGTGTCAAGACAAGACAAGATCCAGATTAGAGCCTGATATTTTTTGTCATAATTTTATTTTAAAATGTAAGGATTTTAAATTATTTGTTATCCTATTTTATCCTATCTGTACTAAAACCTGAACACATATGCTTTTACGTTAGTTATGTTTTTAAGTTTTTAGGTTAATTTTTATTTTGAATTGTCACTGTCCTATAATCAAAGCACCCCAAATAAAGTATATTTCCCAAATATCACCCCAGTAAAGGAAACTAGGTAGTAAGACAATATTGCAAGATGGCAACAGTAAAGGGTAATTTTTGAGCTCATTGTACTTTTGTCAGTCTTATTCTGTCAGTCAGTCCATCAGGGTGGAGCAGCAGAGCTCTTGGCAGAGAATTTGCAGTGAGGAGAACTGACACTTCATAAAGTCAGATGCTAGAAGGCTCATGAGAAAATCCAAAATGCATGGAACTCTATGGGGCTTTTGTGAACAGTTGTAACATGTAAATGGATAATTTATTCAGACAAATACACTCACAAATACACATTTTCTCAACAGAGAACAACATGAAGTGTTTCGGCAGTGCTGTCAATTTTTTAACTCCAGTTGCAGGACTTTCTAACAGTATCTTATTTAAACTTATGACATCAATGAAAATAAACATAGACATGTAAAACAGAAAGACATCATAGTTTCACTGAGAGATTATTTTGGATCTTGCAGAAGTTTAAGGTAAAGTTCATCTCAAGCTGCAGCTGAGATGACCACAGATATTCTATAAGAGGAATGCATGTATTAATAACTCTGGGAGTTTCATCTGTCTACTTATCTGTTAACCACATCTAGTTTTACATCTCAGTTCTGTCTCTGTTCTCACCATTTATCACTTGGACATTGAAGAAAAGCCTCGTTACTGAACGGTAAGATGGATGTTTGATTCAGAATATTTTAATAGTTTATGAAAAAGATACAGTACGTATTTAGTTATTTGTGTTTAGATTGATGTTTCTTCTATTTCAGTTTCAAAGAAGTTCAGTTTATCTTTATTGTCTCATGTGGAATTGTTTTGGGGGAAAGTCTGGAGAACATATATGATCACATGATGCTTAAGAAATAACAAACAACACACATATATTGCAAATAAAATGTTTGCTAATTCCTGTTTTTGCCTGAGGAAGAAAATGTGATGCCTTAAATCTACACTGTAGGGAGGAGAATAGCTGATCCATGTTGCTCAGTATAGACCTTCCCTTGTGAAGAAACTGCTGGGCATAAATACTCAGAAATGTCTCTTTAATAGCTGTTTTCAAAATGTAATAAGTTTTTCTTTCTCACAATAAGGTTACCATAACACACAGTTATGGAAAAATGAAGAACTGATTAAATGAAACACAGACTTCATTATAGTGTCCACATTTAAAGTTTTGGACTTCTTGGGAAATTTAGATAATGATTTGGAAATATTTCATTTAACACTTTGCTAAAAATATCCTCAATTCAATTCGTTTAAGTCAGTTCAATCTAATGCCCTATAAATTCACACCCTCACCTTACTTTTCTGTGATGAAGTGTTCTCAATCATTTATCTGATGCCAGTGCAGCTACAAGCCACTCTGCCACAGACCTCAGCTCTCTGTCCTGAATTCCCTTCGGCCATCTGCCTGCTCCTTCTGCAGAAACAGTCCCCTCCTCCTCCATTCAGCTCCAATATGTCTCAGCTCTGCAACTTCTGACTCCACTCAGCTCCATCTTGGATCGGCTTTAACACAACTCAGCTCTACAACTAATTTCTGACTCTACCTGGCTCTGCCTCAGATCAGCTCCAATGTACCACAGCTCTGCAACACCTTTCTAATTCATCTCGGCTCCATGTCAGATCAGTCTCATCTTGGATCTGCTTCATTTCAGATCGGTTCCATCTTGGATCAGATCCAACACACTCAGCTCTGCAACTCATTGCTGTCTTAACTCGGCTCCACATTTTTCCCTCTGGAATAACATTGGTTTGTTTGTGAAGGTGCTGCCTGTAACTTGCCACTCTACTTGTCATTTCGGCCGTTCTTCTATTTTGGTTTTATTAGATCTTAGTGCAGCCCTTGATACCGTTGACCACAAGATTTTAATCCAGCATCTTGAATGTTGGGTTGGCCTCTCTGGCACAGTTTTAAAATGGTTTTAAATCATATTTACATAATAGGCAGTTCATGGTTTCACTTGGAAATCATTCATCAAAAAGATTTGCCATTTCTTGTGGAGTCCCTCAAGGTTCAGTCTTAGGGCCTTTGCTTTTCTCTTTGTACATGCTACCTCTAGGTAATTCACGATTTTTATTTTAAGACAGTTTTACGCAGGTTGGTTGTCATGATTTGCTCAACATCATGACAAATAAAAGGGAAGCAAACAATGAATAAATGACGAAAGGATTTTAATAAGAAATAATGGTCTGGTGCAAAAAATCTCAAGGACAAAAAATGTAGGCCAAAATAACTCCAAAATAAAACAAAACAAAAAGAAAAAAACTGAAGCATATTACCCAAAAGAACAAAAGAAAGCTGGCCCAAAAACAAAACTGCCCGGGACACAAACAACAAAACAAAAGAGAAGCTCCCGCCACAAGCACACCACACAGGTGTAAGTAGTCTTCCTGATGAGGCCTTTAGCCCCAACCACTATAAGTCCACCTGTAATGGCACAGGCCCATCACATTTGTGAACCTCTGCTCCTCTTTGCTGAGAGACTCTGCCTCTCTAAAATACTCTTATACTCAGTCATGTGTGTTAGTTGCAAATTGCTCCTTCAGCTGTATTAGTACCACTTACTTTTCCAGTCTTTTGTTGCCACTGTCTCAACTTTTCTGAGATGCATTGCTGCCATTAAGTTCTAAATGAGTTAATGTTTTTCAATAAGTGGTAAAATGTCTCACTTTCAACATCTGATATTTGTTCTATGTTCTGTTGTGAATAAAATATGGGTCTATGAGATTTGCAAATTATTACATTCTGTCAGCAGATAAATAAACTTAGATTCTTGTTTTGGAAGATGACCTCAGTTAAGATGCTGACTGGCTGTAAATGATGTAATTTCCTCTGTAGCTATAATATGAAGCCCAGCAACAGAAGCTGATCTTTGAATAAAGCAGTGAAACATGCATAAACAAAGTTAATGTAATTAAATGTGTTCCAGTAATTGTTAAAAAATATTTATCCTAAACTTCATAGTTATTGGCCTAGTATTTCTTCATTATTCTGCATTAGTCCTATGCAGAGGTATGGTTAGTGCCTGCACTGTTACTTTAAGTGGCCCTGAGGTTTGACGTCATCACTGGTGCGACTGTCTCTCTCTGCGGTTTGTGAATTGACAGGAGGAGGGCGCTGTTTCTCTGCTATGAAAAACAGGGGATGTTTGTTGTGGAAATCAACACATACATTCACATGTAATAATAGTAATAATAATAATCATCATCATAATTAATGTATGTAAGATTTATTTATTTATGATGCAAGATCACGTTACAATTTTAAAAAGGATAAAATACAGGTCGTGTCAAAGAGTGAAAATGAAATGTAAAGGAATTATTTTTATTTGGCATTTGTAGGAGTGCTGGATACTGTTTGATGACATTGTAATGAGTGATATTCCTGAGCAAATTAAATAAGTTTATAACTTATAATAACTTATAACTTATATAATAACTGCAACCAGACAAATCAGTTCACAGAACAAAATAATTGTATGTTTTCAGCTCTAAGCATTTCATAGAGAAAAGACAATTTACAGCAAATCATACAGATATGTTCTTATTCATTTGGGTTTACATTTTTTATCGGTGAAATCTAAGGTCCCCACGTAAAGACTGACGGTTTTACATATTTTAAAATAGATGTTTCAAAGTAATCTCACTCGGGATTGCTGTAGTTTTTATTGAAAATGATGGTGATGGTCTCAGTGATGCTTCTTTGAAGTCTATAATAAAATGATACAAAATACAGTGAGTTGGAGCAGAGCATACACACACACACACACACACACACACACACACACACACACACACTCACACACAAAGCTTTCAGTTTGTGCTTTAGCTTAGCAACTACACTAATATACAATTTTTAAATATTAAAACACATTTAGTTTTAATCTCTCAATGTGAAGCATTATATGGTTGTAATATATCTGGATGATGCTACTCTGAACAAAGATATTTAAGATATCACTCCACTTCAGTTTTTGACTGCAGGGAGTCACATACCACAGATGTTCCACCTTAAATATTGCAGTTAAATCACAACACAGACAAACTGGCCAAAACAGGTGAAGAGAAGCTGACATGGAGAATAATGAGCTGTATGACTCTTCCTCTATTGTTTCTAAAACACAGTTAGCCTGCTGGAAGGTTTAGGTTGTGATACTATGCTTTTAATCTACTGTGAGCTCCTGATATTGCTTTTAACTGTGAAACACACATGCTAGATATGTAGCTAGTTCTTTCAAGCTGTTAGCCGGTATGATATCCTGATGTATTTGCAAGGCAAGACTTTTATATGGATCATGTTTATGCAGCAGCTCTAGATAAAATATATTTTTCTTTCTAAAGTGGAAATAATTTACTTAATCTGTTTTTGTGTCATAACTGTCCAAATTTAATAATGTAAATCAAGAATAAAATTGTGCCATACTATGTGGTACAATCTCAAAAGTGCTCTAATCCTCACCATCCAGTGGCCAGTAATAGAATGATAAGTAAATAAATCATTTGCGTCTTCTCAAAGTCACATCTGTCCACTGCTGGTCCTCCACTGGTCAGAATCAGGACCTCAGGTACTGCTCTCAGTCTACACCTGTGAACTACCACCTTACACACACCTTCATATTGAAGCAGAATTAAAGGATCCTGATATCTAGAGCTCACCACATAGATTTGTTGATCCATATTTCCATCCTGCCTCTTTCTCTTGTTCTCAGAAAACAGCCAGTAATAATCCAATCAATAAACATCAGCACTTATGATACAAATATGAAAGTTTGCAAGAGTGCAATGTTAAATAGACTGTTCATGAAAAATAAAGCTTTTTCGTTGTTATTCTTACCTCCAAAAAACTACAGTGAGAAAAACTAAAAAAATGAAACAAAGGACTCCAACAGCTACACACAGAATCACGGGGTAGCCTGTATAGGGATACACAAACAAGCAACATTCATAAATGAATAAACAGTAATAATAATATGAACAACATAATAATATGATCTACAAAAGAGATCATACGTTCAACTCTAACCGTTAATCTTTCACCTTTTAAAGAGACCGGCACTCCAGCTGACCTCTGAGCTCCATGATCATTCTGAGCTTCACAGTAGTACAGTCCAGTGTGGTCAGCAGTGATGCTGATGATGGTGTAATTCTGTCCAGATCCTACAGGTGAGGTTCCACCTTCTTTAAACCAGGTGTAGTTCCTCACAGATGGGTTTGCATCACTGCTGCAGGTCAGAGTCACTGAACTGCCCTCCGTTATTCCACCAGAGGGACTGATGGACACTAAGACGCTCTTTGGAGGATCTACAGCAGATCAAATAATGATAAGATAAAAATGATAATGATATTTCAGGTTTCTGGGCTTCTGCAAATCATCTAATACAACTTAAAACAATCGCAAGAAGCTTACAAAGAACATTTAAATGCACAGCCGTGGAGTTTCTCTCTCCATGATCATTACGACTCTGGCATGTGTATTCTCCACTGTCCTCAAATGTGATGTTGGGAATGCTGTAGGTTTTTCCTTTTCCTGCTGATGTTGATCCTTTAAACCAGGTGTAGATCTTCACAGGTGGGTTTGCATCACTGCTGCAGGTCAGAGTCACTGAACTGCCCTCCACTATTTCACCAGAGGGACTGATGGACATTCTTTGGAGAATCTGGAGACAGATATGAAATTGTTCAAATTACTACGACATGATGCTACCAAGACATCTATTATCATTTGTCCTGCTAACACCACTGGTTAGTATTTACAGTATGTAGTGTAGTGAACAATATGAATTAAACTCACATCTGACTCTGAGGTTGTGAGCAGTAGAGTGGAGATGCTGATATCCTCTTACAGCACAGCTATAACTGCCTGCATCCTCACTGCTGACTGTCTGCAGGTGGAGCTGGTTGTTCTTGATGGTCTTTGTGGTTAAAGGACGTCCATTTTTGTACCAGATGAATGTTGGGTCAGTCAGACTGCAGGTGGTTTTACATGTCACATCTGTTGTTTCTCCCTCTGTCACTTCTTCAGGAGTTTCTACATGTAAGTCTAAAGCCAGGAAAAACCATCAGGTCAGGAGAGAAATGTGGCAGCTGATCAGCCACTTTTCAATGGTTTCCCGGTTCTGATATTAAATATGTTAGACCAGCATACATTAAATATCTAAGATTTATCAATATATAATAGCAGTTTATCAATTTCTCTTTATTTAAATCTGTATGAACAAATCAGAACACTCAGTAATCAGGCAACGATCTGATTCTGGTCTGGCTAAAGTGAGATGATCGGCTGTGTCTCATACATAGAAAAGTCTATCTTACCTGTAACTCTGAGCTGAACTCCAGGTGTACCCACCCATCTTTGTTTTTCTACATTTGTTTTGATTCTGAAGCAGAACTGATGTTCATCCTTCTTCATTACATCACTCAGTTTGAGGGAGAAGTGTTTCTGTTCATCAGTGAAATACTCAACTCTGCCTGAATAATCTGGGTCTTTACTCAGATCAGGCTTCTTATCTGGATCTAAAGTCCAAAATGTCTCTGTCACTGTAAGATTTTCTGGGTGAGTATAAGTTCCATTCATAAACACTGTGGATCCTTTTAAAGCACATATTTCCTGTTGGTTGAACTTCACACTCCACTCTGTTCCAAAAGCTCCTGAAACATATGATGCATGAAAGAGCTGATTACAGAGTCTGGAGCCCATAAGACAGTCAGAGTTACTGTAGCTTACAGCTTCACTTCTCTCCTCTCCAACTCCAGCAGCTACTCTACAACACTGAGCTGATTCTTAGAGATAACACAAAGTGAGAAGAGCTCTGAAGGTGTTGCAGCAAAGTCAAAGAACTGGTACTAGAGAGAAGCACAAACTACCAACTGAACACAGTGTATAATGTGTAGCTCCAGACATTAATAACTTACTTCACTAACAACTTAGTTCAAGTTTACTTCTACATCACAACTATCCATTTTGCTGTTGTAGTGGTGATGTTTTAATAAGATGTGTTGACTCACCTACAATCATGAGCAGAAACAACAGAGGAAGAGACACTCTGAGTGACACCATCGCATTAAAGCCTGCAATAATAACACATAAGAAATATACTCTTGCAGAGAAAACTTTGAAAACCAATTCATCAATTGTACAAGCACTGCTCCCTCTGTATATAGAAATTAACATTTCTTTATATTTGCACTTTTAATAATATTTATTATTTAAACATACAGACGTGTATAGAGGTTTGTGAAAGCTCCACCCAGTATGTGACTATGCTGAGAGAACACAATGCAGATCACTAAAAGCTGCCTCATAGTGAGTTTAACATACTGAGTTGATAAACAACATATATATCAGAATGGTTTTCAGGTTTTTGCATATCATACACATTAAGGAGAAAAAAAAAATACATTCTGTACTTTCTCATATTTATACCAGGGATTCAGGTTCTCAAAACTGCAAAAACATTTCTGTTTAGTTCTTTTTTTTTATTTTCCTCCATTTTGCATTTATTTTGAAGCTTGTCCTCTTAACAATTTAAGATTTTTTCTTTCGAGTAACGTCATGTTCCAAATGTGCTAGGAGTTTATAGGATGCATGTGACTGTATCCAGAAAAATAAAATATTGAAGTTTGCGAAGGGCCCATAAGAATAAACCGAGGTAGAAAATATCAGAGGTGTGGACTCGTGTCATATGACTTGGACTTGAGTCTGACTTGAGTCACAAATTTGATGACTTTAGACTTGAGAAAATTGAGAAAGACTTGGGACTCAACTTTGACTTCAACACCAGTGATTCTGACTCTATCTTGGACTTAAGCGTTATGACTTGGAAAGACTCAAAGTGGAAGAAACGTGGAGAGTCTGACTGCAAATGGGACTCTACACAGTTGATTATTTCTCATAGGAATGGATTCTTTTCATGCCATAAATTGAATAAACAGCATTGTTGTCAAATGTCTATTACTAGGCTTACGCTTGGTTTATTTTACTTCAGAAGAGAACTGAAGCATTAGAGCTTGCAAAGCATCGACAGCAACAATGCACCCTCGCTCAGCACTTAAACTCCAGTCTTACTTACCAGATGAACTGACCGTTTTTCTCATGGTAACGAAACCGAAGAAACACAGCTCTCTATGTTTGACCAATTTTAATAGCTTCTGCAGGTAAAACAAGCTGAAGTTGTTTTTTTGTTTACCAGCTTCATATTGTAAATTTTCCATTCAAACTTAAATGGTGCAGCAGTTATATTCCAGTGCCTGACTGCTGCACCATTTATAGTTCAATGGAAAATTTAAATAAGAAGCTGGTGAAAAAAGTCAACCTAAGTCATGGTTATCTGTGTACCATGGATTTTGTATTTTAGTTGGAAAGGTAACAAAAATAAGTCCACTGCTATATGTCCATGGCACGTTCCTCCTTTTGAGTGAGCAGATAAACTCTAGATTTGGGAAGAGTAACGTTGTCAACTAGATCAATAGCGCAGTCATAAGACCGGTGTGAGGCAGTCTGGTGGCATTACCCTTATCAAAAACTTCCCTGAGATCTACGTATTCTGAGGGAATGTCTACGTTGGTTTCTGAATTGGGGCTTTCAATACTGGTAGATCTGACTTTTAGTGTGGGGTGAGAGATACAATTCTGTGAACAAAAATCTGACCAGAGACTAATTCACGTTCAGACCAAGAGATGCGGGGGTTGTGTTTCTCTAGCCAGGGCAAACTTAAGATGATGATTTCTGATTTCTAAGAAAATTTCTGATGTATCTAATACTGGAAAGGAAATGAGTTCTGAGTGGTTTCTAGTCTTATAAGTTCAGTTTTACAGGTGATGGCTACAGCTTCTACAGGACTCCCATCCAAAGCTGTTATATTTAAATGAGTCTTCAGCGATTTCACTGGGATATGACAATCTTCTACCAAGCACACTCGGATGAAGTCACCCTCATCTCTGGACTCTATCAAGGCTGGAAAAACAGAAGACTCACATTGGGAACAGATAGTTACAGGTAGTACAAATGATTAAACCAGCCCCTTTGTTAAAATATTAGCCCACTACATTGTATTAATCCACATGCTTTCCAAGGGGTGGCACCCAATGTCTCTGCGGACAATGTGGCATTCACGTAGAACATGATCGGTGCCTCCGCAATACATGCATAGATCTTCTCTCCTGTAGTGTGCCCATTTCACCGGTGAGAGCCTTGATAAGTGACACTGCATTGGTTCTTCATGTTCCAAGTTTACACTAGTCTCTGTGGTGACTGCACATCTTCTCACAGTTATTTGAAAATGAGGGGTTTTACTTTTCCTGATCTTTCAATCATGAATGAGACAGTCTAAATGAAGGGAATAAGTTACCAACTGATCCAAAGTCAGATCATCATCTTTATACACGAGATTGGTGAGAATTTCTGGGTCCTTTATGGAAGATGACAAATAATGCTGGCTCATTCCATCCACTGCTAGCAGCCTGCATAAGAAATTCTAAAGCATATTCAGAGACAGCGCAATTCCATTGCCATAAATTCATTAATACTTCTCCACTCACTTTGCCCTCATATGGATGATCAAACACCAGACAAAACTCTTTAAGAAATTGTTCATAGGATAAGGTACATAAACATGGCCAGCTAGCAGTAGCCCACTCCAATGGTCAGAGAGGCATGATACAACAAGCAGCATTTTTGCCTGAGCTGAACTCTGAGGGAAGTTCTCAAAAAAATACAGGAAACTGATGGAAAAACCTGTCCGGATTATATACTCTCTCTCTTTGTGTGTGTGTGTGTAAAATTATACAGGATATTGTCATTAACTTGCTCTGCAGTTTATACCGTCCTTCCCCGTGAGGTCAGGTTCATGCTTTCCTGTGAATGTTTTAGTTCCCTTGGACTGTGTGTGTGTGAAAGAGAAACACTGCTCACACATACAAGGAGGAGGCATGAACGCTTAACTTTTTACATGTTAATATCATTACTGTTGAGGAACAACAGTGGTGTTACTTTCTAATTGCACAGCAACAACAACTCAGACCAATTGTTTTAGGAATGCCTGAATCAGAAACATGCTGCTGCTAGTGCCCAGAAAACATGTGAACTCAATGGTTTCAAAGATTTTAAATGTTAAAAAAGGAGGCCACTCTCCTTTTTTAACAGTAATAACACAGAAATTATATTCTCTTCAACTGTTGAATGTCCTGTCTGTGTGCTCTCAGATACTGATGTTAGATGAGATGGTAAAAAGATGGAAGCAGAGAATTTATAATGTCTAAAGCCTTGAGATTAATTCAGCCACTCCAAAACCTTAATTTGGTTTCTCTGAGACATGTAGAGGCTGATCATTGTCCTGCTGCATAACTTAACCGCACTTGATCTTTAGGTCACAAATTGAAGTTCAATATAAGTAATTCATAAGTAATTCAAAAAAAAAAGATTTGGTCTAGAGCTTGCTTTCAAGTTTCTGCATGCTCTAGAAGTATAATTGGACTGTAAAAGTGCAACAAGACTTTAAATCTGAAACTCACTGCAGTATTCTTGTAGTCTTGATCACTGGATATGTCAACATCAGGAAGGGTGGTAAGGAAGAGGGGGTCTACATTCTACAGAATAGAAAGTAGAATAGATGAATAATTAACATTATAAACACTTTTACTGTATAACTGCTCTCACTTTACAAATAAGAGCTGCTACACTCATCACACTTCCACATTAAAGTAGGATTTAGGGACACTGATATCTAGAATTTTATAAGAGCACACCACATAGAGATATTCATCTGTGTTTCCATCCTGCCTCTTTTTTCTGCTCTTAGAAAAAGTCAGCATTAATCCAAAAAAAATAAGTGTATTTCTTTTTTCTATAGGTTTTTTCTTTGTTAATGAAACTGATATTTGACAAGATAAACAAACATGGAATGAAACAATTACTGCATTTCACATGCTAATATTTTATATTTAATGTAAAGTTCAAAGTGATTCTCACCTTCTCCAGCAAACAACAGTGAGAAAAGCTATGATTTCACAAAGTCCGACTCCAACAGCTACATATAGGATCATGGAGTAGCCTGATAGAAACACATACCAACATACGCATATGTAAAAAGAAAAACTAAGTCTAAAGAATGAATGAGAAAATCATGTGAATCATGTAAAACAAATAAAATAAAGAAAAAGTCACACGGCGTGAGATGTGGTGACCTTTTGTTGGTACCAATGTCGAATGCTTTGAGCTGTTGGAGGTTCACTGCCATAGTGACAGTCAGAAACTCTATGACCTCCTCTTTCAGTTGGCTTGTAATTGGTTCCTTGGTGACTCATTGTTGTGAAAATATGGTGAAAAAAATATTGAAAACAATAAACAAATAAACAAAATCTTTTTGAATCACCCTGTATATGTATTTTCCAAATCAGTCTCCATATTTATTTTTCTGATTGATTCATTTCACAGCATGGCATATCAGCTTTATGAGAAGGCAAGAATAAAAGAAACTCACATCTGACTCTGAAGTTCTGAACAGTGAAGTGGAGATGTTGATATCCTCTAACAGCACAGCTATAACTGCCTGAATCCCTGGAAAAGGACTATGATTATGGGGGCGGTGCTGCAAGGCTCTACAGGAAAGACAGCTGGGCAATGTTTCATAGCAAGGCAAGGCTGGCGAAGTTTTTATGTTTCCTAGTTTTTCAAACATGCCTTTTATATACTCCAACTGGCCACTTCATTAAAACCACCTCCTTGCTCCACTGACAATATAGGAGCACTCTGTAGTTCTACAGTTACAGACAGTAGTCCACCTGTTTCTCTGTATACTTTCCTACCCTGTTCTTCAATTGGCCCTAGGGTCAATCCGATTATATTTTGAGGTGCCACTGTACTTCAAGTTTCAGAGGGGAATGAACATACTACCATTTTTTTCACATGAAAGCGTCCCGGGCAAATAGGAAAAGTGTGTGTGAGCATCTGAGTGTGTGTGTGTGTGTGTGTGTGTGTGTCTGTGTGCAAAATCCTACAAGTTATTGTCATTAACTTGATCTGCAGTCTACATCACCCCTCCCCGATAGGTCAGGTTTATGCTTTCCTGTGAAAATTTTAGCTCCTATGTACTCTGCGTGTTTGTGTGTGTGTGTGTGTGTGTGTGTGTGTGTGTGTGTGTGTGTGTGTGTGTGTGAAAGAGGTATACTGAACGCACATACAAGGAGAAGGCAGGAACTCTTAACTTTTTACATGTTAATATCATCACTGTTGAGGAACATGATAAGACAGTTAAGGGAAGCTTGAAGTAGATATTAGATAAACTGTGTTTAAACTAAAGCACAAAGTGGTGTAAAAGTGTTCTAGAAGAGTCAGAGTGGAGTCTAGAGCACTGTTTTATGGTCCTGAGCAAACTTTGTGAAGGAAAAAGACATTGAGAGGTGTGCTCAAGTGTTTCAGCTTCACTATATTTCACAGTTTAAAGTCTTTCTCTTATTTTGCCCTTATATTGTATTTTACTCTTTGAAATTATGTCTATGTTATCATTTTGCAATGTGATCTTGAGTCATAAATAAATAAAAACTCATATCTGTTAAAATCTGTATTTCTTCTTAAAGATTCACAGTTTCTCAAAGCAAAGAAACAGTGCCCTCCTCCTCGCACTTCACAAACTGCAGACAAAGACAGTCAGACCAGTGATGATGTCACACCTCACAAGTGACAATGAACTGGAATTAGTATTGGTGAGAGCCAAATATCAAAATCTATTGCTGGGGTGAACTTTATAGCTACAAAGGAAATGATATCATTTACAGCCAGTCAGCATCGAAAATGAGGCCATCTTCCACAATAAGATGATGTGAGGAAATCATTGGCTGTCGGCTCTCCACCCTGAAAGACCTTCCCTCATCTAGGATGAGGAAAAGGTAGGGGGAAATCATGCCTGACCCCTCACACCCTGGTCACTCTCTTCCAGACTCAAAATAACCATCTTCTCCATAGCTTTTCAACAGAGTCAAGTCAAGTCAAGTCAAGTCAAGAGGTTTTATTGTCATTCCATCTATGTACAAGTACACAGTGGAGTGAAATTACATTTGTCGAGGAACAACAAGGTGCAACAAGGAACAAAAAGTACAAAAGTACAAAATTACAAAGTGTGAATGTGCAGACAGTGTGCAAACAAAAAATAAGCTAAAAACAATAGAATAAATATGATAAATTAAACAGACATTAGACACAGTAAACAGACCGGACACTGTAGCACCAACACAGCACAGATTTCTGGACATGAGGTAGTGGAATAAGGTGCAGACATATTTAACATGATGTGATCTGTAAGTTATGTCAGATAACATACATAAACACAGCAGTTACTGAGGTAGTAAAACAATTACTGAGGTAGTGAAAACAGTTTAAACACAGTGTAAACACAGTATTAGCAGCAATGTTCCAGATAGATAGTGCAAGTAGAGCATCAAAAGAGGTGTGTATGAGTGTGTGTGTGTGGGGTGGGGGTGGGGGGGGAGGTTAGTTCAGTCCTTGTGAGTTTAAAAACCTGATTGCTTGAGGAACAAAGCTGTTGCAGAGTCTGGCAGTGATGGCACGGATGCTTCGGTACCTTCTGCCAGATGGCAGCAGTGAAAAAAAGTCTGTGTGAGGGATGGATGGGGTGGTTCACGATGCTGGTGGCTTTGCAGATTCAGCGTGTGGTGTAGATGTCCATGATGGAGGGGAGAGAGACCCCGATGATCTTCTCAGCTGTCCTCACTATGCGCTGTAGGGTCTTGCGGTCGGAGGCGGTGCAATTCCCAAAACAGGCAATGATGCAGCTGCTCAGAATGCTCTCTACAGTCCCCCTGTAGAACATGGTGAGGATGGGAGGGGGGAGATGAACTTTCTTTAGTCTCCATAGGAAGTAGAGGCACTGCTGGGCTCTCTTGGCTATTGAGTTGGTGTTGAGGGACCAGGTGAGATTCTCTGTGATGTGGACACCGAGG